AGATACCCACATGCACTTACCCATCCATATTTTCACTTCTCCCCAACCAAACACTACCTAAGGGTCATATAACACTGATTATACTACTGATCATTTATGATGATGATTATTATTATGAGCATGCTTTATCTATTTCATATTACTTGTCTCTTCTATAATATGTATATTAGATAGATGTCTTGGGATAGTATGGGTGCGCCTTGATGATTTATGATGGGACCATGATCATGAGAACTCAAGCTCACTACATGACTATTCCGTAAAATTATTCCTAGTCTAGAGTTACCGATAGGTTACTTACATAGAGATGTAAGATATAGACCTTATGAGTGCAGGCGTGGAGATACCTCAACCTATTTTATAGGTGGATTTGTAGTCGATTGAGGCGCACCGAACTGACTTGCCGAGAGACTCCATCAGAAAACTTATAGTAGTATCATTGGATCAATAATGTCTCTGTTTGATATGAATAAGGAGACAATACTGAATGATCCAGTACAATTGCCAAATGGGTCAATCACAAGATCAAGGGCCAAGAAGTTTAAGGAAGCTCTTAGTGGGCTGATTCTAGAACTGTGGACTAATCATGAAGACATCAAGTTCAAATCAAATCCTAATCAGAGTTTAGTCAATGCCATCAATGCAAGGGAGGTTGAATGAAATTATTAGCATCAAAGCAATAAAAGCTTAGTGGAGTTGATATTATCATTATAATAATAATTTAGTGAATTTATTGTCTTTTCCCCAAGTGACGTATCTTTTTCCAAGTGATGTTTCTTTTCCCAAGTGTTGTGTCTTTTCCCAAGTGATGTGTCTTCTCCCCAACTGTTGTGTCTTTTCCTATTCTTGGAAGGATGTTCCAAGATATACTTTTAGTATAAATAGGAGGGATTAGGGCCTTTGTAAACATACTTGGAAGTTATAATATTAATAGAGAGGTTTCTTATCTTTGGTTCTTATCTATAACTTTTTACTTATCAAGAATGTTGTTCTTGTGGCTTTCAAACCAGACTTATCATTCACCTTCTTCTTTCTTGAGTGTGGTGTCTTTATCCTTCTTTATACCTTTGATTTTTATCTTCTATAGATAACAAGTCAAGGTTTTTTATTTCTTGTTTAAATTCCTGATGATAGAAACGATCCTAACTAAATTGGTCTTGGGTCTCACTATTCTTGGTGAGGTTCATATCACTGTTCATCTAGTTAAGTAGATCATCCTCAGACTTAAGATTGTTATCATGCACTGTGTCCAAAGGTCATACTTTTTTTTTTGGAAATATTCCATCGGTTCATCGCTTCGCGATTAGTCCGATTCGGGGCGGGTCCAGGATTAAGGCTTTAAACCCCTCCCAAAGGTGGTACTGGGGAGATTCGAACACATGCCCTCACCCCCACCTGCTCAGCTCCCATGCGCCAACTGAGCTACCACCATTTGGTAAAGGTCATACTTTTAGGGTACAACATTATTTGCCTAAAAGATAGGGAGAACAATTTAGTTATGGGTATGATTGGAAGGCACATATGTAGATGAACAAGTCAAAAGAATTCATCATCCTCTATGAATGATTAGTTATCCATAGGACCGTGAGGCTTGAATGACTTCCATGAAACTCGGGAATTTATCCACAATAAGAGATCATGAAGGAGTTCATAGATCTTTCTTAGAGTTCATGGAAGTAGACTCTCAGTCCCGACAAAGCTACTCTTGGTCAATAAAGAGATGACATTACTTCCTTACTCTTAATCTAAAAGGTGGGTGAACAAGATGAAAGAAAGATTCCACAGTAACTAAATTAGTAAAGGCAGATTTCACGATCAAACTTGATTAGTTCTGGGGCAAAAAAAAATTACTAGCACTCTTTGTGGTCTTTGGATGGATCAGGCTTCAAAATTGAGTTTAAGAAGATTCCAATGATGTCCATGTTAGTGACCAATTGAGCTTAATAGGTCACACACAAATATCACCTCATTGGCAGTACCTATCATATGTTTGCGTCTTGTGAGATAAGATTGAGAAAGAGGGCTTTCCATTTTATGCCTTAAACGTGGAAGCACATGAGCTTAATGGCCCTGGTCTGTCGGCTGAGAGGGCTAGGTCATGGGCCTGATGGGTTAGCCCATGGACCTTATGGGTCACACATTTGAGTAAGTGGGTTAGGCCTGCACTTGCATCATTCAGTACTAAAAAATAGTCTATTTGTGACAGATATCTTTCATCGCAAAATAGGCACTTTTTGTCGTAAAAACACTTTGCGATGAAAGAAGCAGTCGCTAAAACCTTTGTCGCAAATGAAATTTGCGACGACATTTTGGTTTCTAATTTTTAGCCGCAAATTGTGATGGGAATTTTCCGTCGCAAAACAACATTTTTCGTCGCTAAAGATTGAATTGAATGTGGATTGATACCATCGCAAATTACGATGGAAAACCCGTCGCAAATTTTTGTTGCAAATTTGCAATGGAAAATATTAACATATAGTCTCAAATTTGAGACGGAATATTTGAAAATACCTTCACAATTTGTGACGGAATAATAAATACTGTCACAGTCAATTGTTGAATTTGCGACAGAATGTCCAAAAATTTCCACCGTAAAATTATGAATATATAAAAAAAATTAAATTCATTTATTTTCCAGAGTTAAATTATAACAAAAACCACAAAAAGGCTCTAGTAATTGCATCAAACAAGCTCCATTAGCCTAACTCTTCCACCAGTTGGAAGGGATAAGACCTTCTGGAAATTTCCACAAACCACAATCGTTTGGAGTGACTAAAGACAATTATTATGCATACATAAATCTTCAACATTAAGGAACCAACCATTCAAATTAACTAGTTCTAGTTTATTTCACATAAAAATTCAAAAACTGAATTTTTTCGCAAACAAATACATAGAAATTCACACGAGACTTAAATATTGAAGCAACCAACCTTCACATTTGACATCCTACAACAAATTTGGAGAAAAAAAAAATATCAAAGATCATAGAAGAAAAAAACATACTATAACACAAACAAAGATAGGTGATGGCAATGGCTACCATGAAGAATGAGTTTGGAAATTAAACAAGTTGAGTTTATCCTTCCTTTTCTAGAGCTTGGCCGGTGGATTCAACAATTCAAAGTTGTTTTGGAGAACCTGAAAATAGAGAGAATTAAACCCAAACAATAGAAAATTAAGATGGAAAGTAAGCCATAGAAGGAAAGATGAAAATGGTAAAGTAAAATAGAGATGAAAGTGATGTGATGAATGTTTGTTTCTCATGAAATGGAGAAAACAATTGAAAGTGAATGGAGATGAAATAGAAATGAGAGAAATGAAATTTGTAAAGTTAATTTTTTTTACTTATCAGCATTTTTGCGACGGATATGTGTCCATCGCAAATTAGTGAAATATATTTGAATTTTGAATTTTGGAAAGTTCGCTAATTTTATTTTTCAAATTGGGATGGAAAATGTCCATTTCAAATTGGGACAAATATCTTTTCCATCACAAAATTGCGCAATATTTTTGAATTTGAAATTTTTGCTAATTTTATTTTTCAAATTGCGATCGAAATTTTCATCGCAATTCGGTATAGATATCTTTTCCCTCGCAAAATTGCGAAATATTTTTCAATTTCGAATTTTGAAAAATTTTGCTAATTTTATTTTTCAAATTGCGACGAAAAATTTATGTCGCAATTTGGGACCGATATATTTTCCATCATAAAAGTGCGCAATATTGGCCGCAAATCATATCAGATAATACTATCGCAAATTGTGAGAGAAAAACTCTCATAGCCGTCGCAAAGTTTGCTTCCTAGGTTTGAGACTGATTTTCCCGTCGTAAAAATTTTCGTTACAAACACCAGTCACAAGTTTTCCATTTTTTGACCGAATTAATTTTGTTTGCAATTTTTTAGTGACAAAAATGTTGACATATTTTTGACATTATTTTACGGTTGCACTTTCCCTTGCAAATTGCGACGGTTGATTTTTCGTTGTAATTTGCGACAGTTTTTTTTCCATTGCAAATTGCCATCACAAATTGAGCATGGTGATTCACTAAAACCAAGGAAGTGGGTAAAGGATTAAGGAAGCGTCATGCCCATTTAGTCTTAGGCACAACTCAAAAAGTAGAGTGCATGGAGAGTAAGTAGGAAAGTGGATTGTAATCCACTTGGGCCATGAGGGGCGCGCAACTAGGAAGAAGAATGTGTTGTTCACTGGCATTGAAGGAGATAGTATACATCATCGTTAAAGGGCTTGGGGAAAATCAATCCTGATTATGCAACCACTATTCTTTGATCAAAGCCAAAGACTGAAGATATGAACGTCACATGTTAGATCCAAACCCAATTTGTTGGTAAAACGCCAAAGATATGACGAGATCATCTTCCCCAAATTCAATTTATATTGAATTTGATCCAAAGTGATGTAAATATGCTTTTTGCTACGTGTTTTTGTTTTTATTTACATCACCAATGGTACCTTTAACCATTAAAAGCTACAACTTTTTTATTTTTGATCTTACAAGCAAATGTTATGGACCGACACATTGAGCCCCCTAGATAAGGAATCCTCTATTAAGCGAGGGGGGTTTCACCTCACAACTATGCACAAAAAAACCCTAGACTCTTTACTTTCACACCAACCCCCTACTCTCGCAATCGTTGTGCATTGTGATCCAAAACTACCTATGAACGTTTTCTCCATAGACACTATTAGCCCCAAATATCCAACATCAATACTTAATCCACCAAGCTCAAACAACAAGCAATAATGCAAACACAACTTAAAATGTAGTGAACTAAATCATGAAACTTTACTTGCAGCTGATCTAATTATACAAATCCCAGACATATAAGATGAAAAAATATAAGTGAACAATAGGACCAAATGAACAATCCAAATCCAAATAACATCTTTTGTCTAAAAGAACTAAAAGTGATCACTGACAACTATCATATACAAATGAAAATTCCACTTCGAACATTATTCTTGAAGGAAGAAGAATTAAAGTTTATAATCGTTCTCTTTAAACCATTCAACAAAATCATCGATGATCTCCGGCCAGACTTCACTGGAAGCATCATAACTTTGAAGATTTTGAAATCTAACCTGCATTAGCAACAAAATGTCAAATATTTTTTAGCATGAAGCTTGTCAAAATGAAGCATGCCTACTTTTAATCAATTATGCATGTGTACAATTATATACAAATAACATAATGCAAATGGTGGACTTAAATCTTAATAGAAAAGAACACATCTGCAAATGACTACTGCTTGTTGAGAATGGTATGGAATAGTCCAAAACCTTTTGTAAATGATATATTTACCAATGGATCAAATGACAAACCACAATAAATGAGTTAATATCACATCCCAACCGAAAACCTTAAGACTATACGTTTATGGATCTTTTATATTTATATGGTCTTTACTTGATCTATGTCTAACCAAAGCGGGACTTCATTACTGTTTACACTTGAATATTTCCAACACTGTTACTGATTATTTTACCGCCAAAAATGTGATTCGAAGGGAGAAAGCACCAAGCAAACTCAGTTAACAAGACTAACAAACCAACTTAATGCTTGATAACCATTTCAAATTTCTCGAGATTACAATTAACCCTGGAAAATAAATTCGAGCAAAAGTGCAAAAAATAAAAATAAAAAGACAAATTGCACAAACCATAAAACTTGCATGGCAATGTAAGAAAAGAACAACATCATTACCTCTTTAAAGAAAGGAAAGAAACCAGACCAATGATATTCATTGAAAGAGTCATAGTCTCTCTGGACCTGTCAAATAATCAGTTCAACCTTAAGAAAATAACTCATGTAAGAAAAGTCAAGAAATCAAAGGTCTTTTCTATCAACAACTATCGCCTAAACAAGTGTAATATGCATAATACACAAGTTATAATCACGGGAAAAACTCTTAGTAATATGCATAATACACAAGTTATAATCCGGGGAAAAACTCTTCTATCGCTTGTTTTCATTTTAGAGATCTTTCTTAGAAAAAATTCTCTTTTGGGTTGAATTAGTTCTTTACATGGTATCAGAGCTTCAGTGACCACAATGTCACGAGCTTGATCCTCACCGCCCCTCATTTGTGGAATTAAATAAGCATAAGGTAAAATAAAAAGAAAATTTTGGGCCTATATAATATTCACGCTTCAAGCCCAAAGGGCTCTTGCGTGAAGGGATATGTTAGAGAATAATATAAATTATCAAAAATGCTCTCACCTAACACCTTAAAATTTTGGGTTGAATTCATTATTTACAAATTTTTGTAGGATGCGCATAACTATGCATCTTAGATGATGATGCAAAAAGGCTAGAGTGCTATATATGAGAAAAACAAGTTAAGAAACAAGATATGAACGATTACCCGCCTTTAGATACTCAGTTACTAAATCGACCTGAATAGGGAATGCGGGTCCTAGAACAACATTTAGCAGCTGACAAACAGATTTAATATCTACTCGTTGATCTTCTGAAAGTATTTTGTAACATTTAAAAGAGATCATAAGCAAGAGCATAAAAGCAACAAATCTGAATTATAATTGAAATAAAAGACCATCAATACCACGCTTACCATTTAGGTTGTATTGAAATGCATAGATATAAAAATTCTCAAAGAACTCTGGTGCCACTATAGCATCAAAAGACTCTATCACGGACATCTACGTGCACATCTAATAGTTAATCTCAACCATTAATTCAAGAAAAATTCACTAACTAATTTATAACAAAACTAAATACCTCTCTCTTTAGTACATCAAGTACTTTTCTTAATTCTATGATTGTATTTGCTCCTAAACCTTCAAGGCCTCTTCGCCATTCATCCTATGAATGCCAAAAAAAATGCGGTTATCATAAAAGTTGCTTCTAGCTAGATCCATGCGAAACTCATAAAAATTGGGCTAAACAAAAAATTAAAATTGAAAAGAAATTTATCTGTCGTCAGTTACACTAATATTTTAAAATAATAAAATGTTCATATGTTTTACAAAAGCAATTAAAACAAAAACATAAAATTACGAAAATGTCACTTGAATATAAATTGCCTAAAACTCATCATACTAAAATAATAATGAATTGATAATGATGAATTAATAATGCATGCATTTTTATAAAATAATTTAAAATATATATAAAGACAATGCTTTAGTCTACCTACCTTAGTAAAAACATCCCGATTTTTAGCTTTCATTTTCCTGATATATGATCATTAATTGTAAAGGTTAAAAGATAAATTAGATGTATGCCTAGAAAAATATAATAATAATAATAATAATAATAATAATAATAATAATAATAATAAGTTAGAGGTAAAGCAGAACAAAATTCACAATGTGATGCATACCAAGCAAGAATGAGTATTCTAACATCTGCACGGTTCACCTCTAAATCTTCACAAAGAGCTTCAATCCCTTTTAACCTGACCAACCAAATAAAAGAAAATATAAAGAATTACATTAAGTCACATTAATTTTATTATTGATGCACAACCATCCAATCTTAGCAAATATATGTATAATAAAATATTACAGATTTTTCAGTATTCAAAAGATCATACATTCAAAGACAAGTTTCATGAGTAAACTAAGCAAATGATATGCATCGATACCATTTATGTTATTTTAACACAATGGAGGCAAGGAACAAACACTATATATATAGAAAGAGCAAGTTCTGAACCTCAACATGCATCTCATGTGATTTTCTAAAGTTCATTCCATAAACAGATAATTTGTTTTATAGATAACAGTGATGATGCATCCAACTCATAACATTTTATGGCTAGCAAATAGGCACTATTCCAATAAAAAATTGAATATAACTTGACAACATAGTTTGCAGAATTCTCAATTCAAAACCATATCACACAATATAATAAGGGTTAATATTTTCTCATGTTACATAAGATAATATTTTTCTCCTATACACACAAATTAAAGGTGGGACTCATTCTATACTTTTTCTCTTTCCTTTATCATCTCTTCTCTAATTTGTGTGTGTATTAGAGATTTTTTCTCTCATGCAACATATGAGAGTCTATTTCCCCATATAATAAATGCATCTATAGAGTCAAACAGGTTGGTAAATTATTTCAACATGTGCATACTTACTCAATCGTGTCCGATGTTTCATTTGTGTATGTGTCGAATAGGCCATCAATTGGATCGAATTCTTTTGCTGCCATTTGCTCTGTTAATCAATCACATTATCCAAACTTAATGATTCAGTACAATATACATTTGGAACATTGAAGCATACTTTTGTTTTAAAAAAAAAATATTTTCCATGGCGTAGTATTTTAATTTTATATACAATATTCCCAACCTCTACCACAAAGTACTCATTAAGCTAAAAAGATAGTGCATGGTACGAGTAGCCTCGTAGAATATATTCAGCGATGCATATTCTTGATCTTAAAGCCACCATGACATGGTTCATATGAATATTTAATTCTGAAAAATCTTTTAACTGTGTTACAACTTCAGCTCTTTATCCACCAACAATCTACACAAACTGTTTGGTTTCCAAGAAAATAGAGGAAAACCCAATCTCCAAGTAACGACTTAAATTCCAAACTTCATCTATCAATTCATAATTAATTAAATACATATTTTTTTAAAAATATATATATATGAGAGGTCGATATCTATTTTCTGCGATGGAAATTTTTTTGGTGGGTTTTGGCGGGAAACAATTAGAGAAAAAGAAGAACAAATTGAAAAAAGTACCAGAACAATGGACGAAAGATTTGATTGATCTCTGAGGTATACTCTTGCGGCGGGGCATATAATCTTGGCAAGTGGACAGAAAATTGCTACAACTACAAGAAAGTGTATTGGATTAAAAAGATTGAAATGTAAGTGCTACAATTATAATATATATGCATAACATCTGATCTTATGGCATGCCGTATTTAAAGCATTAATACACTCTTTAATGCTAGAAGCACTCTTCTATTCAATCCTCATATGCAAAAATAAATCATGGGTTTTTTTTGGGGTAATTTTGTAATAAAATTAGTTAAATACTTTAAACAAATTTTTGTTGTGTGCTTCTATTAAATGTGATAAACCCTATGTCTTTGAACATGTCACTACTAGAAAAAGTAATACCATTGATGGAACATTTCCGTTAACTTTCACACAATTTTCGTGGGAAAGAGGTTCAACGACAGAATTGTTGACGAAAGTTACTTCATCTCTGATTATGTAGTCGAATTTGTTTTTTTGATGGACCAAACTAGTGAATAACGCACAGAATGATAAATTATTTTTGTTTAACAAAATAATGAAAATGGAATGTTGTTGAGATAAGTATCACACAATTATAAAATATGAGAATATCTAATATAGAAAATTGGTTAAAGATCATGTGCTCTCCACCATGGTATAACAATGCTATTTTTCATAACTACGTAGCACTGTCAAAATGGGTCAGCCAATTCCATTAGACCCTAGCACATTCGGGTTAGGGTAAAAAATTCCACTAGAAATGACCCTCAATAATAAAGGCTCATATGGGCCAAAAGCCCTATAGGTTAGGGCTTGCTGGTACGCCATTAAATTTATAATTTAATTTATAATTTAATACATTCAAAATTATTTTAACAAATAAAAATTTAACACTTTCATAAATTTTTCATATAGGAAATATAAATTTTTCATAATTTAATTTATATACTAAAATGATATTTGCACACAAATATACAAGTGAAAATCTAAGCAAAATTTTAATATACGTAAAAATCTAATTTTACTATCTTTGCTAAGTTTTGTTGCTAAATGATGTCATCAAATGAAAATTTTCTCACCAAGAGTCTAATGGAAACCCAAAGGAGCAATAGAAAAATGATCTTAATAGCAGTATTGAACGATTATTCTTAGTATGCTATATATTTGAAAAGTTAAACCAGAGATTTTCTTCAACTACTATTATTATTAAAACCTTTTTTACTTATTATTATCTACAAAATTATCAATATTCACTGTATACAGTATGTTTCAGTGCAAATTCGGGTACTAACTTTAAAATTAATTATGGAGGAAGGAATTTACTTTTTGTAATTTAATTAAAAGTCTTCAAACTTCATTAAAATATATATTCTATAGAATTATATATGTAAAAATATATTTTTATTATTATATTATTTTAATTATTTATTTTATATTAATAAATATTTAAATTTATATATTTTTTATTTTTTAAATAATGAAAATTTTGAGGAAGGAAAAAGTTTTGCTCGCGGATAAGCCCTAATGCAGCCCGCTAAACCATAGGGCTTTGGTGGTTAGAGTTAGAAAATGCTCTACCACTAAAAGGGCCTAATAGGTTAGGGCCAAATATAATACTTTGTGGGCTAAGTCATTGACTTTAGTACATTTGACACATCTAGAACTGTATAATGTTTAGCTAGCCAATAAGCGTCTAGCAACTAATAACAATTAGTTTTGGATGGAAACTTATAAATACTCACACACCCCTAAAATGACTTTAAACCATCTTGGACAATGTTGAATCATTTCTCAAGCCTTTCTTGAAAGATTTCATTGATCATACACTTTCATAACTCTTTTAATGTAGCACTTGAATAGCTTCTTTGATATCTTTTATATGCTAGTATAGATTTTATCATTGAGATGATTTATGTATTATGAGTTGGATGAATATATTGATAAATTTTCCATATATCAAAGTTTTCGTGAAATGCTAATTTAAAAGTAAGTGTGAGGACATTTACCAAATTTTTGATATACTCAATTCACTCATCTTGAGTATGGAAGCCATATTCCTAACAAAAATACAAAAAAAAGTGAAGAAAAGATAAAAACAAAAATCATCCTTTTAAGTCTTGAACTTAGCAAACCCAATTAATGACAAGAATTTGAAGCTTGGGATAATGCTTGAGCAATTCTACTACCTCAAGACAATTCTTATTATAATCAAAATAGTTGAGTTCAAGATGTGTTAAATTATGAAACGCACGAATAAGTTCTTTAACTATATCCATCTCTTCGTCATTAACTACACCATCCATATGCAAGCATTACAACAACATAATCTCAAAAATCCCACTTTACATAAAATTAAAATGTAATTACATATAAATCACATTTTCAATACCTTATATATGCGCAAAAACACCACATTATTAACTGCTTTTGATGGAATATAAGGTTTATCAATTTGTTCTCTGATAAACTTGGGTAACCTTTTAAATTGTGTCACGGTCAAAGAGTCATCAACATAAAACTCCTTTGCTTCTAAATCCTCACACTGGACATCTAGACATATGCTTCACCAAATATCTAGGATTTAAGAAACTAACACAATTTCAAATGCAAGATTTTAAGTGAGGCAAAATCACCAAACGAAAAAGGTTTCACTACTGATCTTGTCAACATAAGAACCACAAAGGTTCTATGTGTGAGAATGGCATATGACAAGTTAATGGAGCGGAGCAAAAAGAGGTGGAGTTGTTGAACTCTCAATTATAGTGAACATTAACGTATATGTTGACATAGGTTCGATGATAATGATCGGACCAAAAACACCATAGGTTCAATTATGACGTAATTATTATTAACCAAGTTGATTCCTTAATCTTTTTTTCAAAACATTGCTTGTATGTAAATTGCAATTAAACAACTAACTGAATAACCTCATTATATAGATAAATGTGTCTCTAGTCACGGAACTACAACACGTAGAACGGACAAATCCTGATAGTTTATCCAACTCAAAGCTAAAAGCATAATTAACATCAATATGGCATGGACAACCCCCATACTCACCAAATAAGGCAACAAAGCCCAACAGAGTCTCAAATCATATAACAATATATTGAAGGTAAACATAATCAGTATCCAGACATATCAACAAACAGCATGCATATCAACTCAACTTCGGCCTCCTGCCGCTAGAGGTATCAACCCTCGAGGTACCTGAACCTGAAAATGTGCCCCTAACGTGAGGTGAGATCTCTAAAAAGAAATCTCAGTAAGATAAGGGGTCCTCAAGGATCTTTCCATCCCAAGCTCACTTACATGTGCAATATAAGTTTAAAAGCAGTATAATAATATAAGTTCCAAGATCAGTGCAATGCAACATATAATCATGTCATGTGTGTCAGAATCCTACTGGCTATAGAATAAACATGCAGGATTTACATACGTCTACAACCTACAGTACAAGACGCTACTTGTACCTCACCCACAGAATCACCATCTTATATGACGCTACATACTCAGGCTTAGCGTCTAGGTGGAACATCATATACACATCATAAGGCATTTGCACTTAACAGCTCAATAGCATTTCAATAAGTCAACATTTTGTAAAATCACACCATGCATATAAACCATCCCTCCATGAGGTATGGTGGAACCAAACATGGGCAAAATCGAGGACACGAAAGCTTACCTCGAAAGCTAACTATCCAACTCAAGAGTCCAACCCAGTCCAAGGTCCACAACAACACTCTCACAGTTTGTTTATACCAACAATCATATCAATATTCATATTCTAATAGTCCATGACATATCGACAATGTTTCCTTTTACGTTTCATGCCATTAGGCTTCTCTCAAAGCCATAATCCCTTAATCCATTTGATTCTAACTCAGTTAATTATTACAGAGGTTCAACTCAACCAATTTAGGATCCATAAATCCAATATTCAGTTCTGTAAGAACAACACAGTGCATCACTCGCACTTTCCCAGAATATCCGGATATATATCAGAAATATATCCGGATATCCATATCCGGATATCAATATTCGGATATCATATCCGGATATTTCGCGACAGAATACAATTTTTGCATTTCGCGAGATATCACTTTCAAGGTTCCGTTTTTAACACTTTTAAATGTTAAAACATGCATATTTAAACCCATTTAGGTCAGTGGTGGTGTTAACTACTTAAACCTATCATTTTTCATGCCTAGACTTGATCTTTAACAAAGGAAACTCATGGTCAAAGGTGAGGAACATACCCCAAGCTCCAAAATAGAGATAAATGGTGCTCTTGGAGCTCTCAAGTCAGCTCCAAGGTGCTGACTCCAAGGGTCCACGAAAATGAGCTTCAAGATGGTTCCTTTCTTCACAAAGATTGCTTCTTGGAGTATCAACTACCAAGAAAATGGCTTCAACAACACAAGCCAAGGAACTCAGCCCACACCTTCCCAAGACAGTGGCTAAAAGTCAGAAATGAAGCACTCCTCTCCCTCACAATGCTAACCCACACCAAGCTAAGTGTTTAGATGAAGAAAATGGGAGGAAAGGTGATCACTTTGGCTCTTTTTTTTGGAGGAGGAAGAAGATGGCAAGGTGGTTGCCCAAAGGCTTCAGAAAAATGCTACATAGAGATGGCAAAACCTGACCTAGGATCATATGCCACCTCTATTTATAAGTGTATTAATTTTAATCACATTGTATTAGCACTAATAGCTATGCTTATTATTTTAATCCCAAACTTTGGATTCTGAACCTAGCTATTTTTTTAGGATTTATCATATTTTTATTTTATTTTTCGTAGCACTTTGCCGGTACGCGCTTTTATGTAGCCGGTATCAGTCCTGACGCCAGTTCTAATTATTTTGACTCCAAACCTGTTATACTAGTACTAGATATTATTTTAGTGATATTTGCATACTTTTCATGATTTTTCGAGATACTTTATCGGTACACATTTATACCGTGAGGCAGAATCGATATATGCACTTTTCGTTAGAAAAACGACTTTTCACATTATTAATCACTTACTATAATTATTTAAGCTCTCTCATAATTATTCAAGGTCAATTATGAAATTTATCTCTTAATTCATAATTAAATTAATTAAAATCCTAATTTAACGGTGCAGGTTCTTAAAAATACCTCCTCTTCTCCATGGTTGGTTCAGGCAAGGCAATAAGCCTATAATTTCTTTATTTTTCCTCGTAAAATCTCCATGGAAATCCTTGCTCCACCTCTCCCAATGCTTAGCCTAACTTAAAACTTAGAAGAAAGCTCATTTTCTCTCCTTGGAGGCATCTATGGCACCACTTTTGGGTTGGAGAAAGATGAAGCCCTTCCTACATCAAAACTTAGAGATCTTACCTTCTCATTGATGAAGTATGATTAAGGTATGTTAAGCTTGATTTCTCTTGGGTTTTCTTAGAGATTTTGACTTAGGTTTTATGGGTCAAAGAGGGCTTTTATGATTTAGTGGTTGGGTATTGAAATATATGTATTGTTTCTTTGGAAAAGGTGTGAAGGATTTATGGTTGTGGAGAAAAAAGGGATTGAACAACCATCTATTAGGTACGATTGCATTCTTGAAATTTTCAAGAATAGGGGTAAGTGGCTAAATCCTATTCTTGGTTATGTTAGAATCATTGACTTGTGATTTTTGGATGATTATGAGTTAATTATTGAATTTACCTCCTTTAATTAGGTTGTTGTTTGGTGACCTTGTGTGATTAACACTATTGTTGGACAAAGGATGTCATTCTTCAAAAGTTCAAAAACCATGGGTAAGTGGCCTAAGCTTGTATTATTTGAAAGCTAGTGAATTAATTATTGATTAGACTTCCTTTAAATAGGCTATTGGCTTCGATTAACCCCTCTCCTAGCTACTGAATGATTCCGTATTCAGCAACCATGAATTTAAAAAAAGGTTGTGTTAAAACAAATCACATTGCAGGAATTCAACCAAAAGCACGGTCAGACATATATCTGGTAAATGGTAATTTACATGCAATAACATAGAAACGTGAACACATTTGCATGACCTTGAGCTCTTAGCACAAGCTCTAGTATACCTAAATCTTAAAAAAAAAAAAAAAAATACTCAATTTGAAGAAGAAAAATCAAATATAATAAGAAAACATACTATTATAAAATATTTCATATATCATCAGCTTTCACTGTTTTTCTTCTATTTGCATCAGCCAAACAAACTATGACTTCATTATACCTGCTAATCAAATTTGAGAAGAAAATAAACTAATGCAGTCTCAAATCTCAAAGGCCCCGATTCCAACTAGTCATGCACGTGGATATTAGAGAAATTAGAATAAATTACTGAGCCTACAAAATCATATTTAAATCATAGAAAATGGATTGACTATAAGAAGATACCATTAAAAGTGAAATCAGGACAGAGATCAAAGCGAATGAAGTAGAGAACAAACTAACACCAAACTTATTTCCCACGAAAACATCCTTCCATTCAGTGGATTTAGTGTACGTAGAAGCAAAATATTGATAATCGTTACTCCTTCCCACAACGCAAGCTGCTTGCAGAAGTGTCAATTTTAGTCCTTGATATTCTGTTAGGACTCATCCATACTATATATAAGACTCATGCTGTGTAAAGCTAATTACACGTTTAGTGATTTGCATAAAGCAGATTAGTTAGAATCCTTTCTTATTGAAAAGATAAAATCATCTTATCTAAGAAGTTGAATTTTGGCCACAGATACATGACAACCATAGCATTAATGGTGTAATAAAAAAAAAGAGTTCCTTTTGAGCAAACAACTACATTTTTATTCTGTGTATGTGAGCATGGTTGCTAGAGCTAGATAAAAAAGCAAAATATAAACACTAATTTACAGTTTACACCTCCCTACCCTAGTGGTTTTGCATGAGATCAGAATTTAACAAAAAATCGCTAGGCAATGGGAACCCTGTAACTCAAGCTACAAACAATCCGTTAATTTTTAACAAAAAAAGACAAAGTCAATATCCTTGCAGCTACTAATAAAAAGGCAGACAACAAATAACTACTAACAGCTATTCAAATCCCACCTATTTAAATGAAAGTTTACAAGTTGCAGAGCGCCTTGTGCACGAGGATAATTTCTTCAGCATTTTGAGCTTCTCCTCTGGATTTGCCTTCATGTAAACACAGATTTTCATGGTCCGTAGATGTGTTGCATTCTGCATAATATATTTTGCAAGTTGAAGATCATCTTTAGAGCCGGTATAATTAATAAGACAACATGTTTTAAGTTGTAATGAAATGGACTCGGGAACAGATTGTGGGTATGCCCAATCTCCTCGTTCTGCTTCGTGTTCTTCATCCAAATAGACCTAAAATTAATAAAAATATGTAAGGAAAAGATAAAAGCAGAAATCATCCAAGGCATAAACTTAGCAAACCTGATTAATGACAAGAGCTTGAAGCTTGGGCAAATAATTGAGCATGTCTACTACCATTCGCCAATCCTTAGAATAATCCATATAGTTGACTTCAATATGGGATAAATTGTGAAACACGGGAACAAAGTCTATAATAGAGGGGTTCGTGTCCTCATTATTAACCACATCCATCTCTTCGTCAACATCCTCAAGCTCGAACTGCAAGAGTTACAATAACAAAAATCAGAATTCCCATTTTTCCTCGAAAATGAAAAGTAATTACATATAAACCACATTTTAAGCACCTCATGTAAGCACAGAAACTCCACATTACTAACTATTTCCAATGGAATATAGCCTCTATGAATATCTGCTCTAACCAACATGGGTATCCTTTTAAACTCTCCCTCAGGTAAAGCGTTGTTAAAAAATATTTTCTTTAATTTAAAATCCTCAAGAATTGGACACCCAGAAAGAAGCTCCGCGAGATATCGAGGATCTAAGAAAACAACAGAACATAAAGACAGGATTTTAAGCGAGGGAAGATCAACAGACGAAAGAGCTGGCACTGTTGATCCAACCAACTTGAGAACCACAAGGGTTTTGTGGCTGAAAATTGCAGAGGACAAGTTGAGTGATTGGGGCAAATAGAGATTGAATTGCTCAACTCTGCGTTGAAGTGCAGCATTAATCCATACGTTCACGTTAATATGATCACAACACCTGAGGCTAAATGTTTGAATGGGTTGGTGCAAATCTCGCGATAGCATAACTGCATAGACAAACTCAACAAAGCGAGAATGACTCTCTTTGTTTTCATTGTAGATTTCATGGTCGAAGTCGAGAGTAGGGACTACGCGCCAGAGTTCCTTCCACCTCTTTGAGAGAACACTTGTGGCAACAACTTCTTCCGTTGGCATAAAAGACAGAATGTGGCACAACACAGCCTCCGGCAAATTGCTAATCACATCCGCCATTGTTGAAAGCTTTATAACATAGAATAAAGAAATTAAATCATACAATCTCCCTTCTCAAGACGTGTTCAGACTCAAGAAAATCATTCAAACCTCAAATAGCCACTTAGCTAGGTTTTTGAGGTTCTTTAAAGAGGATGAACAAAGCAATTCAAAAAAAATAAGGGTTTGGCAGAGGAACAGGTGTAAGATATGTTGGAACCTCCTTAATATCACTTTTGCAGGAGGGGTTCAAAGCCTTAATTCTGGACGCGCCCCGAATCGAACTAGTCGCGAAGCGATGAACCGATAGAATATTTTAAAATATAATTGTTATTAGAGATAAGATATTGTAATAACTGCTAAGATTGTGTATTGGATTAGTATTTTAAAAGATTTGTTTTTGTAAAGATATAAAATCTTATAGATTTTAAAAGACTATTTAAATATATAAAATCTTATAGATTCTAAAAGACTATTTAAAATTGAAGATCCTTTAAAGACTTTTCTTACGATCAAGATTTCATAAGATTGTATTTTAAAAGATTTTAATAGAATTTATAAGATTTGAAAGGACAATATGGATTTATAAGATTTTAAAAAACATATAACTTTTAACAAATATTCAAAGGGTTCGCTTTTTTTGCAGTTACTGCATATAAGTTATCTGCAGTAAGCCCAATACGACGTCGTTTTGGGGCGGAAATCATGGTATTTTTGTAATTTGAATTTATTTTAGGGATATAATAGTCTTTATACTTATAATTTTTTAAGATTTCAATACCCAAACGACGTCGTTTTGGAAATAAATACAGATAATTTATCTGCATTAACTGCAAAAACATTTTCCCCATATTCAAAATTACAAAAGTCAACAAAAAAGGGGAAGGTTATACTTACAACCTATTTTAACCATTCATTTCCGTCAATCAACGATTATCATTCATTGTGAATTAAATATTAATTAATGAGTTTGATTCACGAAAGTAATAACCGTTGATTGACGAAAATTAACGATTAAGATATGTTTGTAAAAAATTGTAAAAAAAAAGTTGTAAGTATAACCTTCCCTATAAAAATAACAAAGAAATGAAATGAAATTAATAAAAAAAGTAAAACCTAATATAATTTTTCCAATCAGTAAAACATAATATATATATATATATATATATATTTTTTTTTTTTTGATAAATAAATATAATATAATTTTTAACAAATATTCAAAATTACTAAATCACAAATTTTCACATATCTAAAGTTATACTAGTCCTCTGTGCGTTAGCATTTTCTCGTTCTTGCTCTTGAGTTTGACCAATGAGTTGAAAATTATCTTCTTCATTTGGTATCAAAGCTATGCTTATATGATTACAAAACCCAATTTTCTTTAATTATTAAAATAATTCTAAATTTGTATATAAAACCTAAAGTTCATGATAAAATTTCGTTTGAAATTTTTTGCAATTGATCTTGAAAACTTTTGGATTTTTATTCTACGTGATAAGATTTTTCTAACCATATATCATATGTATATTTTCATTGAATATTCTAAGAAAATTTTGAATCTGAATTTTTGGGTTTTATTACATGAAAGTTTAGAAAATTTCTCAAAAAATTTTCAATCGATATATTGAAACCTTAAATTGCTTTGGGGTTTTTGAAAAATAAATTTTTAGTTATCTAATGACACAAAAATTGTTTAAAACTGTTTTATATAATAAAGAAATTTCGTTCATAAATGTATTATTACGAAATATAGGGTTCATATTATGAAAGTTTCAATCTTTTTTTTTTTAAATTGATATTGTTTCATTGATGTAAAACGAAAATTGGTTTGAGGGATTTAGGTCCCTTGTTATTCTTCCATTGTTTTATGTTGTTTTTAATACAAATCACACCTTTTGTGCTAAGAAAAACAGCGACCCATAGCTTGAAAATTCACTTTTTTAACTTCCAAAATTTCTAGAAAATGGCTCAAAATATGTTGTTTTTGAGATAAATTATGTTAAAATCTCACTGGTTTGTTATTTCTGGGTTGTTTTATGATGAAAATCACTAAAAAATATGCTAGTTTTGAGTTTTGACGAAACTGCCATAGCGGAACCTGATTTCGAGTAGGTCAACCTGCCAAAGAAAGAAGAAAACACTGCAATAGAGAAATATCAAGAAATTCTAGGATTAGGATGAGATTGTGAGAGATACATCTTATTTATATTTTTTACTAAAAAGTCTCACGTAATCCACACCAATAGAAAATCCACTAAAATAATCAATTAAAATCCTTTGAAATCTCAATTCAATACGCCCCTTAATTTCTCATGTTGCTAAGTTCTTCTATTCTGCGTCTTTTTGTGACAACAATGACTGATAGGATAAGCTTTTTGCTTGAGGATGTGCTCTGCTGAAATCAGTGGCGGACCCAGAGAATATTATTTATCTCCGCACACTGCCCTCGAAATTTTTTTAAAGAAAATTTTAAATGCATTAAGGGATAGGATATTGTAATAACCAAGTAGTGTTACTACCAATTAATTTCACCGATAGACCGGTTATGCTGATCTAACGTAATATTTATTTCCATCATAAAATATACAATTAAACATATGACATCTCATTCGATTCTATCGTATTCCATTCATTTTCATTCAATCTCTAGTTGTATAACAAAGATGCTTTATTACTATACTAAAAAAATAAAAATAAAAATAAAAATTAGAATTTCGTGTCAACAAGTGCGGACACAGGCGACCATCTAGGTCCGCCATTGGCTGAAATATAGAATCAACGTGCCCATAAAACCATTCCCCCATTCTCAACAATATCTAAAATACTTATGGTGACTTCCTTAATAATATTAGTCCACAATTCCACACCACTTACTTTAAAAGCAGTAAAGCACCTCAATAGAGATATACTTAAATCTACAAGGAATTCAAATTCATGCTCATCAAACTAACATTACTTTTGCTTTTTTATTGGGTTCTCAATGCTATTCTTTATTTTATTTTTTTTCCAAACATCCATAATTCAAAGGGGAGTTTTTGCCAAGGCATTTCGCACGCCATTTTCAACTACTCTCTACTTGTAACAAAAAAATGTACAAATATAATCAACCATATGAGAAATATATGCTCATCTTTGGTAAATTCAAAGGTGAAATTAAAAAATGGTCTTGGGGTTTTTTTTTTTTTTTTGCTTTGATTGGAAAATTGGTGAATTTGTTTTTTGGTACAAAAAATTGGTGAATTAATTTTGGACTTGATCTATTAGCTCATAAAATCAAAGAAATGAAAAAATATTCAAACTAAAATAAAACAAATAAAATTGGAAAAATCAATATTTATTGATTTCACACACTTATATATATATATATATATATATATATATATATATATATATATATGGGTTTAGTGAGTGTACAGTGACTGGATGTAAAAACGGTCCAGTACACTATGTTCTCCCACGAAAACACAGTTATAGTAAAATTATAATTATGTTCTCCCAGGAGAACACCATTGTAATATTTTTGCACTATATTCTCGTGGGAGAACATAATGCAATGGACCGTCTAGTCACTTTATTTTCATTTTTTCATATATATATATATATATATATATATATATATATATAAGTAGGGTGAGATGGTTGTTCAGTTCAAGAATAAAATACAAAAGGATATTTCTTATTAAAAGATGATATTATTTTTTTAATGGAGTTTCTAAATTGATCGGTCTGTCTGGTTCTATATTTGAAAAAAAAAGATTTTTAATATATTTCTTTTTTTATAAATATTTTTTTAAAAAAAAACTAAAATTATTTGGTATTTTAGTGGATTATTTAAAAAATAATTTTTAACAAAAAAATTATTTGTATTTTAAAATTTAATATTATTTTTAATATAAAATAATTAAAAAAGACATGCAAAATTTAAAAGTAAGATTTGGGATTAAGCGAATAATAATAATAATAAGTGGTAAAAAATAATAATAAGAAGTGGTGTTTGGTTGTTTTGGTTTAGGTTAGGGTAAATTTAGATTTTGAAAATAATCTTTGCCTTTTAACTTTTATTTTTTAAAAACACAGAAATTTTAGCTTAAAAGGAAATAAATATTTTGGCATTTCTATTGACTTCTGATTTTTTTTTAAATAATATGACATCCAAAATTCATCACTTAAATACTAAATTTGTGTTGATGACTTGTTCAAAAATTAATAATAAATTACACAAGAGATTAATAAAAAAACAAAATAAAGGCAGAATAATATAATTTATTAATATCAGCATATTAATTAAGGGATAAAATATTTTTATTATCAAATAATGTAACTACTATATTTTAACTGTTAATTGTCGTCAAATAGTTATAATTTGTTGTGAATTAATAATTAATTAATAAATTTAATTTATGAAAATAATAATTATTAATTAACAAAAATCAACGGTCAAGATGTGATAATACTATTGATAATAACATTGTTCGTTTGATAGTAACAATATCGTGTACCTTTGATTAATTAAGCACGATTTTGAAAATATTTTTTAACCCATATCTCATGCGCAAAAAAAAAAGCCATAATTTCTCACGCCGCGTTCTTCTTCTATTCTGCCTCTTTTCGTGAGGACGATGGCTGATAGGATAAGCTTTTTGCCTGAGGATATGCTCTGCCACATTCTGTCTTTTCTGCCAATCAAAATGACCATATTGTCATTTTTTGGGCAAAAATTTAACTGTGTCACGCTTGAAATTTTTTTTACTAAAATGTCACGTCACAATCTCGCTGATCTGACAAGCGGAAATGGACTGGACACATGTTAGCATCTGAATGGTCAACCATTCTTGCTAGACTGTCCAGCTAAAATGACAGAATGCTGACACGTATAGAGAATGCCTGTACTTTTACCACGTGTCAGCAATCTGTCATTCTAGCTGGACAGTTCAGCGAGAATAGTTGACCATTCAGATGTCCAGTCCATTCCTACTTGTCAGACCAACGAAATTGTGACGCGACATTTTGAAAAAACATTT